AAAGATGCCCTCGGCATCAAGGTGTTCAGAAAATATTGCCTTATGGCATTTACACAAAATAAAATTTATACAAGGCTCAAGCAGCAGTCTCCTCCTCGGCATCAGCAGTAGGATCCTCAGCATCAAGGGCAACGGGCTCTTCCGGAGCGTCCTCCCCTTCGTAATCCTCAATCATCTCTTTAGTAATGCCTTCGGGAAGGGGAGGAGGATCGATAATAAAGTTTAAGTTCAGCTTCTGGCTGGGGTTGTACCGTTTGAATCGGTAGACCAGATCCATCATCTCCGAGCCCACCTCCTTGTCCAGCAAGGTGGAGAACTTGGTAGAATAACGGTACTTCTGGATCGCCTCCTGGACTGCAGCTTCAAGCTCCGAAGCCTTTGGCCACTTCGATTCCTCCAAAGCCACCTGGACCTCCTCATTTGCCTCTAGGTCCTCCTTTGCCGTTAGCTGTGCCGACTTCAAGGCTACCGACATCTCAGCGAAATTGGCTTCATAAACCTTGACCTGCCGTTCGGCAACCTGCATGTCCTTCGCCAAGTTCGGATGAGCTTGGATGGCCTTGCCAGCGTCGGCAACCCTGGCCCTGCCATCTTCATAGGCCTTCTTTGCCTTTTCAACGACATTGATGGCTCGCTTGACGAACAGCCACATGTCTATTGAAGCCTGGGAAACAAAGGAAAACATCAGACATACCGAAGCATAAGACAATAAACAGTAAAAGAGAGGGAATGTTTCGAACTTACCGAAGCTTGAAGACGGAAGGCATGCCCGGCTTCCTCCCGAAGCAACTTCTTCGGTAGGTCTTCAATCTTGAACAGCTCCATTTGCGAACCGAGGATCATATGGTTCACAAATTGAACCGTCTTCGATGGGCAGGCCAAGGTGACGAGGTCAGCAGGGAGATCGTCGTCCTCAGGGGCAAAGATGGCCCGAGGAGGCTCAATCTGCCGCCAGCGACTTGGGGCAAGCTCGGCATCTAGATCGACGGTGATCGGGCGCTTGCCGGCTGCCTTGGAGGAGGTGCCCTCGGCAGGCACACCCCGGCCAGGAGCCGGACCGGCTGCCTCCAGCCCGCGCTGAGCCGGCGTTGAGCTGACGGAGACGGTCAGAAATAGTTTGGTCCTCGGGGTCAACTTCTGTCGAGGACGCCGGTACTGCTTCCATTAGCTGGCTTTTTTTCTTCTTCGCTTGGAGGCCAAGCATGAGTAGCCTCTTGGACAACTCATTCATCCTCTTGGCCTCGGCAGCTACCCTCGCCTCCGTCACTGCACAAAAGAGACGATCAGTAAGACGTCGACATGTTATATTACCATAAACTAAACGAAGTACACTTACTCTTGGCAGGGTTGACGAGCTGAGCCTTGATAAGATTGGCGGTGAAGAGGAACTTCGGGTACACTCTCTCCACGGCAGGGACCTTCAGTCTCACCCTATCGATCTGCCAGATATCCGATTGGGTGGCGCTCGACTGCTTCAACTTGCCTGCGCAAAAAGGAAACGAAATTAGGCTTCTTAAGAGACGTCTGTGCACTAAAGATCTACCGAACGGTATGTTAGCCTATCAGCTATTTGGAAGGTGGTTGGAATGTGGAAACGGACGGGATGTCTCGATGGTGACTCCCAATCGTGGGACAAAAGTACCCGTCGATTCCTCCACATTTTCTGCGAAGTCGGCACGACACTGACAAAATGGCTGCACTGGGTAGCCTTCAGGCAGTTAGCCTGGACCCAGCCCCCGTGGTCGGTAGACTTGGACTTGATGACGCTGTACAGATGGGAGAACTGTTCGTACGAAGGCGCTCCTTCGCCGGCCATGCCGAAAGCAGTAACCATTCCCATCAACGCCACCTAGAAGTTAGGGTTGAATTGGCCGGGAGCATAGCCGATCTATGCCAAGATCCTCTGCACGGCAGGTTGCAGTGGCAACCTCACCCCTTGTAGAAGTACGTCCGTGAAGAAGACGACTTCCCCCTCTTTCAGCCTACTCAGAGATTCAGTGGCCATTGGGATCCTCATCCTTACCGAATTGGGTATGAAATACTCGGCGCGATATCTCGCGATCCTCGCGATCTCCCGCTTGATAATCTTGTTAGGCTCTAGGTAGTCTACGCCGAATAGGTGCTCATTCAGAACTCCCATCAGCACCTTAGGATTGTTGGGAAAAACTACCGATACCCTCGGCCGAGAGGATGGTTCGGCGGCTGACTCTCCACTGCCGGAAGTGGAGGTCTCAGACTGGCGGCTAGCGCTCATCTCCCCGGGCATGGCAAGACCGATGTGACGACCGTTACTATAAAAAATGGACAACGATACCGGTGCAGTCATTAGCCCCTTACCGATGCCATGTGTAGGAACGGAGCTGGGCCCTTCACCGAGTATCTCAACATCGGTGTCGCTTCCGTCCTCGGCACCGGGGCCTACCGCCTCATTGTCCGAGTCAAAAAGACTGTCCAATGACTCCCCATCGAACGCATTGGGCTCACGCTCGGAAATTAACTCGCTATCAGACATCTACAAAAAACAAAGAAAAAGGAAACTAAGGTTCACGCCGAAGACTAGCCTACCGACCTCTACATCACTACCTATGGCAACTAGACTACCGAACGGAACCCTATCGTCAGTCTAGTTCAAGACAAGGAAAGACGTAACAATAGTTAATGGAGAGAGTAAATTGAGGGTGCCGAACGGTACCTTAAATCTAGCTCTGGAAGGAAGACCAGAAACTATGATACTGATCGCCTTGACGGAATTCGCCTTTCTTGTCGTTCACTGCGTCAAAAATCGCCTGGTTTACAGTTAGCCCGCGTTGGAAATCGCTTTGAATGCCGGAAGCTCTCGTCGGAAATCGCCTCAACAGAGCTCTCGCTTCTCACAAACGCAAAGTGAATTCCTCTCCAGAGTCACCTCTATTTATAGGGCGAGGGTTCGCAACGGTACACCTCGAAAAACCAAACGGAGCATTAATGCGCCGCGCCTAATAATTGCTCTTGCCACGTGTCTCTCATCCTGTGGGGGACTGAGGGCATGCGAGGCACAGAAGAAGAAGCGCCCACACGTCTCTTCACACATCGACTCGAGGTGACCTTTTGAATTCCCCGACGTCAGCTTCTGAATAAACGCAAACGGAAGGGCCAAAGCTGAGCCCCTCTAACAGTTGGATTACCGAACGGTAGGACAACATTTTCTGCCGAAGATAATTTCAAGTCCCCTTCCGAGAACTCTCGCAAGAGAACTTGGAGGACTCTTGTTTATACCAAAATGAACAGCCAATATGCATAGGACACGTGGACCAGACTAGAGCTATGGTAGCCATCGGCAATATGCTTTGATACCCCTCCTACCGATCGCACGATTAGGGCAACTTCTCCCCACAGTCCCACATCAAAATTCTAAACAACTTGCACACCTCCCAAGGTCTATAAAAGAGGACAACTATCCCAAATTGGAGGTGATCAAAACTTATGGCATACTGCCTATTGATCTGTAGTTTAATCTTACTAAATCTGTACTTACTTAAGCATCGGAGAGCCTTCGGCCAGTACCACAGCGGTGCCCTAGGTCTTATCGAGCGTTTGCTATCTTGCAGATTGCATGCCCTACCGAGGCCCAGAGCATACCGAAGGCCCAACATCACTAAGTTGAGCGGAAAAGTGCCGAACCATTTTTCTGCATCAACAAGGTGGGAGTAATTGGCTTAAAGGCCACCCAAGGAGTTACAATTTTTTTACCATTTTCTCTCATTATTGTCATCAATTAATAGCTATTAGTGGGGGAAGTTTAGGGGGAGAGTGATCTTTGGAGAAAGAAACAGAGAGGCAAGGAAGAAATGTTGGAGGAAGGAGGAAATCTTGGCATTCTCTTCTTTCGGTTTTACCTTCCCAAACTCATGTCTTTCTTTTGGTTTAATTTAAGAATAATGTGGAACTAAATTTTTAGTAGTTAGGGGCTGTTTTGAAGCCCCAGATATAATTGCAAATGTGTTATGACGTTTCGTTTCAATTTCTTTCACGAAAGGATGAAAATTGCTTCACTACTTGTCTCATTGATGAATTCTTTATGTGTTTTCTACAGATGCATACTTAGTAAGCATATTTAAGATTCTAATGCTATGAATATGTGTTTGCCTGCCCTTGTTGAATGAGGACCTACATATGTTCTAGAGTAGTACTTGTTAGTTGCGATTAACATGTGAATCAATTTCTAGGATAAGTAAGACAACGACAGTACTTACGATGCCTTGTGATGACTCAAACTCTTTTCGTTCTTAATGATTTCTACTTGTTAAATCTTTGAACACGCCATTCTAGATTGCATGCTAGGGACTAAGTTAAGTTGAAAACGTCAATCTCTTAACATACTACATAATAAAGAGTAATAGGTTGAGTTCTAACATTGAGCCAACTCGGGCATCTTCATCCGGAAATAAAAGGAATCTGATTGAAACATAACATGTTTGCATGACTATTTGTTGGTGGATAGCACTTCCCCTAACTCATTTTCTTAATTGTGAAATATAATCTGTTCTTATAATTCAAAATCCGTTTCTGTCCTATTGTTGTCCGATTTAATTTATATAGCAAATCAACTCTAAAAATCCCAAAAATTTGTGTGAGTGTAACTCTGCGTGTCAGTATCTGTGCATAAAATTTCGTAGACTTTAGATAAGTGTAAGTAGGGATAATAATTTATTTATTTTTCGGTGGCTGGTCAGTAGGGACAGCAGCCCAGTTTTCGTGACAATTCAAGTGGTTAGATACGACAATCTTCTGCGGGAAAGACCCTTATTTCCATATGCTACAATTGACGAATCTTAGTGTTAATAAGGAAAATCAAAGAATATTTGTGTGCTACTTTGTGGTGTGCTTTTAATCCTATCAATTGTTGGCGCCGTGTCGCCGGGGATTGTTATTTCTAATCACTTATTTTTCTTTTGTTTTTATTTTCTTGTCTAATTTGTGTTTTTGTTTTTTGTTTTTATTTTAGGTACTCTTTGCGGTATATGCATACTCGAAGGTCGAAGAGCATTGACCTAGCTTCCTTTGATCCTGAGCTTGAACAAACACTTCGAAAGCTTCGGAGAAAAATCAAGCAGCAGCGTGCAACGGTGTCCTTGCCACCATCTTCTCCACCACATTTGAGTTCAGAAGAGGAGGAAGAACCACCAGAAGACATGGCTGATAACCGTACTTTGAGGGAGTTGGCAACGCCAAATACGGATCAACAGCCATTGTGCATCACATATCCAAATGCAGAAGGAGGATTTGAGCTCAAGTCTGGCATGATTCACTACTTGCCTAAGTTCCATGGCTTTTCAACAGCTGTAGTTGACTAGTCATCAGTATCTGTTGTTTGATGTTTACTTGATTATGATGATTGATAAGTCTATAAATTTACACATTTATGTACTCTTTATATTTAGTTTTTGTAGGAGAATTTGATTTAAAAATGACTTATTACTTTATTTTCTCAATTTTCAGCTTACCAGAGCAAGTAATTTGTTTTCAACGGCAATACGACTTTTTGGTGGAGTTTTAGTACGAGACCAATTGGAGATGAAAGCTAAGACCTTGAAGATGATTGTGGAATTTTTCTAGAATTTTCAGAGCAGCCAATGAGAGCAGTCTTTGAAGTTAAGTCAGTATAAGGTGCAATCCCATCAAAACTGTGCTGTTGTGGAAGAATGACTAGTTGAAGACTTTCCTGATTTTTCCTCAAGGCGTGCAATATATGGCTGGAAAGAGAAGACCAAAACTACAATTTACATATTTTTCCCGAATTTTCTTGGAGGAGAAACAACCCAAACGTGTGTGCAAAGTAACTGATGTGTTATCTCATTCCAAGTAGGAAGAGGAATCAATTACTTACCCATTTTGGATTTATGTTTTAATTAGGTTTTTCTTTATTCTTGGGCTGCTGTAAAAGCCCAGCTAGGGTAGGAATAGATGTGTGGTGTTTTATTTAAGCATGAGAAACAACTCCCTTG